TTAACAATAATAATAAATTAATGAGATAATAATAATAAATTAATAAAATAATAACAATTAAAATTATAAATTCAATCTGAATAAGATTCATGTCTATATACCGTATACATGTGTGCCTAAATTGTTTTTGGCATGCCGGAAATAAAAATTGCCGAAAATATTTTAGGCAGCCTAAATCGTAAATAATTTCGGATGCCGAAAATAATTTCGGATGTCAAAAATATTTTTGGATGCCGAAAATACTTTCGGATGCCGGAAGTATTTTCGGATGCCGAAAATATTTTATAGCGCCGAAAATATTTTTGAGAAGTTACAAAATATCAAACTGTCTTTTCGCCATATTTATGAAATTGAATACACAATTATCTTGTTTATATATTCCACCATATTATGAATTATCCATAGAATTAGTCCTAATTACCTCGCACTAAAGATTTGATAAATTAGTTAAATTCTCAGCTTGTATTAGTTGCCCGAGTGCCTTTGGTATTCTACTGTGCTTTACATAGTTCTATACGGATCTCCTTGTGATGATAATTTGACATGCGGTTTAGCTTCTTATCTCTTATATACATATATTGATAGTTACTAAGGTAGACAGATATTAAATAAGTTGTTACATTGAATATACTTGAGTTTAATTTTATAGTGTAACTAGGAAGAATAGTTTTCTTGATATATTTTTAAAATAGAATTATTAAAGGTAAAATGATAATTTCATTTATTTATAAATAAATACATATTTAATAATTTTGTAAATAAAATAAGGGAATTGCTATTGCCACCCCCTATTTTTGCTAATGCCACCCTCTCGCTTAATCTGATTGGCCTCCACATTCCTAACCCTAATTCTTAATTAGGGTTAGACTATATAAAGGATGGCATTAGCAAAAATAGGGGGTGGCAATAGCAATACCCTAAAATAATATAAATATAAAATTTAAAATTTAATACAAAATATTATATAAAAAGAATTCTTATTTTGCATTACTCATGGTTGCATTGATAACATCATTAATATTATAATCTAATTCATCTTCAGATTCCATAGTACTATCACTATTTATTTCATTTATTTGTTCTTCTAAAAAGATATTGAAATCTATTATCTTTGTAACTTTTAAATTTTCACAATCAAATTGTTTAATTTCATCTAGATTATCTTTATTAGAAATATAATCATTATCAAATTCTTCAGAATTGTTATTAAATATATCATTATCATATTCAATTAGATTTGAATAATTTTTTATTATTTTTTCAAATTCTGATTCTGAAATATTATTAGTAACATAATTTAGTTTATTTGGAGCATTAATCATATAATATATATATAGTTTTGTAATATTTAATACCTTTTTTACAGTTAATTTATAATAATATAAATTATTAAATATATTAAATTATATATATATTGTTTGTTAAATTAAAAATTGTGTTAAATTAAAAATTTAAGTTTTATTAAAATTAGATAAAAGTTTATATTAATATTAGAATAAGTGTTTTAATTTAAAGTTATTTAAAACCTATAGAGTCAATAGCATAGCAGTTATGCTCCAAGGTCACAAATCATAAGGTTGTTAGTTCAAATCTTAGTGCAGTAATTGTAGAAATACATTTCTAAAATAAGGAACTGCTATAATATAGCATCAGAGACCCAGAAAGGTATCAAACAGATTTATTTCTAAAAAAGGCAAGTAACTTGTGATTGAGAAGCCACCTAGTGATAAATATGAGTTAGAACCTAATTTGAAATAACTGAAGTCATAAGACATAATGTAAGACTGAAAGTCTAATAATGAGAGATATTATATAAACTCATAACAACAGTTGGTTCTAAACAGAGTCTGGCAAAGCTTTCCAATTTTGGCAAAGGTTAGTATAACAGATCACTCTTAGAAAGTTTAAAAGCACAAACCAGAGAAGGTCAAGGTCTAGTGACTGAGAATATTGAGAATATTAGTTTAAAATATAGTACATAAGAATAACCTTGGCAAAATTATCAAAGAAGGAAAAAAAAAAAAGTTATTTAAAGTTAATTAATTAGTTAATATCAATATTTTGGGCCTAGACAGAAGAAAAAAAAGAGATTTAAAGAAATACTTATTATACTATAGAATATTAGTTAATTTAAAATACTTGATTTATAAAGATTATCTAGTACTGTAATTAATTTGTTTAATTTTAGAAGACTATTAATGAAAAAAAAAATAATATTAATTAACTAATTAACTTTAATTGGTCTAATATAGATATTAATCTAATGCATAATATATAAAAATTATTTAAATTAATTACTTGTTTCTTCTTTTTTAGATAATTTAACTTAAAATAGAAAATATTTACTTACAATTTGCACTATAAGATGTAATTGCTAATAAATATAAAGCAAGTTTTTGCAAATAATAATTTTGTAATTTATATTTGCATTACTAAGTTTAAGAAGATTTGATTCTTTCTACAAAATTAAAATTATATAGTGCTTTTTTTGCATTATATATTTTAATTTGTACTACAAATGCATTTGCACTTGTTACTTCATTTTTACTAATTTTTTCTATATTTTTAATGTAGTATATAAAATTTAATAAAGTACATTATTTTTTATACCTTTTTTATAATATTTTAAATAAAAAAATATGTAAACTGTGAGTTGATAGCATAATGATTAGTGCTTCTGGATCTCAATTGTTAGGTCACAAGTTTAAGTTCAGAGAGTAACAAAAACTCTGTCAAAATTATAATTAAAAAGATCTGCAAAGGATTTTTATTTAAAAAACAAGAAAAAGATTTATATAAAAAAAAATACAATAATTGGTATAGTCACAAAGTCACTTTACAGAAACTTTATTTTTTACTAAATATAATAATTACTAGCAAATAGCCCGTGGTGAAACCACCGAGAATTAATTTACTAAATAAGTAAATCAAATAAGAATTGAAACAAAATGTCATTTAATGATGTAATGAACTTAGTGAGATTATCTTAAACATATTAATTAATTCAGATTTAATTAGCTTATGATGATATGTTATTTACTTATTAAATAGAGATTAGAAAGTGTAGTATTTATGAATGTTTATTTAGGGAGGGTTATTTAAAAATGTATTAGGATAGTGTAATAGTAAATAATGAATGAGTTTAATAATTTATTTTAAATATATTAGTAATAAACGGTTAATATTTTTTTAAGTATATATATATGTATGTATTTATATATATAATAATAAAATGTGGTAGGATTTTATTTCGATTTAATTGGAAGTACCGTAAATAAAAGATCGTTAGATATCAGAAGTTTTTTGAATATTTGACGTAACATAACATAAGTAATGCATAATTGGCAGTAATAGTAAAGTTATATTCAGTGTATTATCATTCTCAAATTATTTAGATTAGGTGAGTTTTTGTTTAAATTGGAAAATTCAGCTATATTGTTTTTTGATGTTTTTATTAATGTTGTAATAGGTATGAATGGTTTTAATTTATTTTGGGTTTTTCTGATTGGTTTATTAGGTTAATCTACGTTAAAAGTCTTAATAGGATTAGATTTCTATATGCATAACTAAGCTGAGAAGACTTTTTGATATAAATAAATAATAAATTTAGAAGTAAACAAATATCGATATCTGTAATAGTTAAGATATAATGACTATATGTCGTAATATATATAAATATTTAATATAAGATGACATGATTATTTTATAGTAGGTTGGAAATAATTAAGTCAAATTTGATGCACAGTTTATATAATTAATGTTAGGAGTGGATTGGTTTGAATCAGAAAGAAGAGAAAGTATGTAGGCAAGTATGTACGTGTAAACTTGTGATTTAGTTCGAATGAAATTAGTTTTATTAGATATTAAAGATATGATTAAAAAATATTCATGATATTAATAAATTTAAAAAGTGGTAAGCATTCATGATGGAAAATAAGCAGTAAAAAGTATATAGATATTTATGGTGATATGTGTATATTTTTAATTTTCATATTGTGGCTAAATGGTACTAACAATTGTGCGTGTAATGAGGCTTAGCAGGGATGTTATAGGTGGCGAGATGTTTAAGTAGTACGTGTTCATATAACAAAATTTGTATTTTAGTGTAAAAAAAATTTTACGTATTAGTTTTTATACTATAGGAAGATTAGTTACTAATAGATAATAAAGAATCTATTTATAGGTGGTAAGAATGGTTAAAAAACGAAAGTAACATTGCCTTGACTTTGATTTTTGATTTCTGATTTTTGATAAATTCGTCATTAATATGCCTTGTTTTGCAGACACTATTGTAAGAATCAAGTTCAGCAAACGAAATGTAAAGGAAGAAACAGGTTTAATTTCAGTATGGGCTGTCAGAACGTATCCTGTTGGTAATGAAGATTGTTTAATTGAATTAGTATTATTTGTGCCGATTGATGGTGAAGAGAGAGATCTAGATACACAGACTATTTTTGAGAAAGATGAATTCTATTCTGTTGGAGGGAAAATTGTTCCTGGAAAATACAATAATGACGTTAGGCCGAAGGTATTTTTATTAGTTATATAAGATAGGTTAATAAGTTTTTTTAAAGAGTCATATTTATATGTTTATTTTTTTTAGATGACGGTTTCATCATCTACACAGTTAAGAATACTTGATAAGGTTCCATTATTAAATAGATGTCCCTTAAAAGTCTCTTTGGTGGGGATCTCCCAAGGAACGCCAAACGAAATTAACAACGATGTAAATGCAATTTTCGAGATGGTTATAAACGATTATGCAGTTCTCGATTATAAGTTTATTGTTAAGATTATTTATCCTTATCATAAACGAAGGTTTGATTATATCAAAAATAGTATTAAACCACTCGAGTCAATTATTTTTGTGGTTGGCATAATGGAAATTATTGAAGGTAATTTTTACGTATATGCTAATGAGATCAACAATATTGATATTGCTAGGATAAATGTTAGTGATAATAAGAGTCAGACAGCATCAATAAAGTCTGCGCGATCAAAACTTTTGTTTACTTATCAGAACATTAAGAATGTAGAAAGCAGTTCTGATATTAAAGCATCATCGGACGATATTGCGAATAAGTATCAATACGAAGTGTTTTCAGATGATTCGTGTTCATCAAGATATAAAAAAGGCAAAGACGTAGATAGGGATATCGAGAATTTGGAAGATATTAGAAGTGTTGCGCAGAAAGTCGATTTTACAGATGAAATAGAAGAAAAAGTGAAAGAATCATCTGATGATAGTGAAAGTGAAAAAAAGTCTCGAACTTATCGAAAAAATAAAAGACACATGACACGTAGTTCAATTTATAAGAATAAGAAGTTACGAAAAGATGTGGATGATAATGACGACGTAGAATAGTAAAGTTTATAGATATTTATTCACGTCATGTAAATTGAGTTTTATTTTTTTTGGTTTACGTATATACTTTTTATTTTACATTTTCAGAAGTTTATTTTTGGGTTAGTGTAATAAAATCTATGCAATAATAATATTATAACAATAATATTATTATGAATTTTAAAGGTCTCGGTATCGTAGTTTTGATCAAGAGAGGAATTGATTCTATTTAGGAATCGATAATCGCTATTAGTTATTGGTTTCATCAGGATTATTCTTTTTAGAGAAAATGGATTTTAATATCCAAAGGTCATACAGTATTCGAATATGTATAAAGTTTTTAGTTAATGTGTATATTGATATCAATATGCATTTTTATTAAAAGTCTAAAAAAATTACCATAAAAAGAACAAATACATGTGGGTGTCTTTTTTTCAGGCTCAGGTTTAAAATTTTTGCGCAGAAACTTATAAAATCAAAGGATCTTGCACATAAAAATAAAAGTGGAAAAAATATTAATATGAAGTTGTAAAAAATCGATAGTAATGAGAAATTTTATATCATAATGACCTTTTGGCATTTAAGTTTTAGCACGGAATTTTGGTCATAATGATAAGATGTAAAACATACAGAGAATATTTGATATAGCAGGGGCTTTTAAAAGTAGAGTAAAAGGTAATAGCAGAGACAATGCCCGATCCAAAGTGAATGCTACTTGTCTGCGATTAATCGCAAATTAAATTATTTATGTTGGATTCGAATTTACGATATAATGTGTCACCAGGTTTGATATATATGTACCATTAACGGTCTCTGCTGTTTTCGAGGCTCGGGATTTTCTTAACACAAGGATCTTCATCGTATATACGTCTTGTATTTGTGATTTTATTGGCTATCATCGATATCATATAATAGAGTTTAAAATGTAATAAAAAGTATAATGATGCTGATTAAAAAATTCGATTACTTAAGGATTTGGGTATATAAAGATTTAACTCTAACACATATCGTTTTTACTCTTTCTCTTCAGCAAAAATCGAATTCGGGTTTTGTACAAAGGTATTTTATTATGAAAGGCAGAGAAAATACAGTTCGATGAATTCGAGTTGGATTGTTTTATTAAAGGTAAATCTGCATTGCTTATATAATTCTTTTAGTCTTAAGATAATGTTAATAATACTAATACTAACTATTTCTACACATATCTTGATTTTTTCTCTACACTATTACCAGGAATTGGGTAACTTGAGTATTCTAATCGTGTTAGTTTTATCATCGATCTTCATTACTCACTTTCATAGATGTTTTAATGATTTATAGAATTTTGTAAATTTTTTTATTTCGATTATACGTACCAGTATGTTATAAAATATATGTGGTACCTTCAATCAATATTATACAGTGCAATATATACATACGATTATAGTATAACAAAGAAGATGATTTTATATAATACATGTTACTGGTAACACTTGATTATTAAAAGCTGGTCTTATTTAGAGAAAGAATTAATTTCAACAGAACGGATAATTAATCGTGTAAATTTGGTAAGGTATTCTCATTAAAAATTTCTTTATAAACAATATTCTTCGTAAAAATGAAATTACTTGCAGTGTGATTACTATTAATTAAAATTTTAATATCATTTATTGACTGTACTCTAGATAGGGTTATATATAATTGACCATGTGAAAATACTGGTTCTGGTAAATACAGGCCCATACGTGGAATAGTTTGTCCCCGTGCTTTATTAATAGTTAATGCAAAGGCTAAGCGAATACGAAATTGTAGACGTATAAGTTGGAAGGGGAGTTGATTATCTGACGGAGTTAAAGAAATTCTAAAAATAAATACACGCTTTCTGCAGTACGAACCAGTTAAAATTTCGGCATCAAGGACATGTGGTCGAAATGCCCGGATGATAAGTCGGGTTCCATTACACAAGCCCTGAGCAGAGTTAAGATTACATAAAAGTATGACAGAGGCGCCAACTTTGAGTGTCAGTTCATGAGGAGGAATTCCATTCGGTGTAAGGGTGTTAAGGAATTCTATCGGATATAAACTTTGATGAACCGTATTACTTTCTTCTACAGAATCAGCAGACATATAAGTATGTTCAGTTCCTGGAAAAATGTTGATAATTTGTTTATTTATTATATCAACATCTATATTTTTTGTTGTAAGTATAGCACGTTTTATAATGTAGTTTTTATCCATAAAATTATTTCCAATGTCAGGGAAGATTTCAGATATCAAAGATTTAAGACTTTTGTCTGTAAGGTCCATGATATTGGCAGTCTTATCATGTCATTTCCAATTTCAGAAAAAACAGGCTCACAGCCTTCACCGATTCGTAACAGGAAATCTGCAAACTGAGAATATTGAATTGAATTAATGTTGGAAGCTTGAGAAGTACGCATATTAATTTTTAGTCTCATAGAACGAACATGCTCTCACAGATATAAATTTTTTATAGTTGCATTTACTATCTGACTTCTTGTACTTCGGTAAATTACCGGTAGGATTTGACGAAAATCACCACCTAAAACAACTATTTTCCCACCAAATACAGCATTAATTCTGGTAATGTCTCGTAACGATTGATCAACACACTCAAAGGCTAACTTATTTATCATTGGTGCTTCATCCCATATAATAATTTTTGTCTTGCAAATTAGCGTAGCTAGATTAGATTGTTTTGGAATATTACAGGTAGACGTATCTGATAGTTTTAAGGGAATTTTGAACCTTGAATGCACAGTTCTTCCTCTACACATAAGAATAGCTGCAATCCCAGAGGATGCAACAGCAAGTGCGATATTACCCATAGAACGTACTTTAGCTAAAATTACATTATATAGGTAAGTTTTCCCTGTGCCTCCTGGTCCGTCAACGAAGAATAATTTTTGATCGCTATTATTTACAGAATTCATTACAGTGTCGAATATCTTTTTTTGATTAATATTTAAAGTATCAATACAATTTAAGTAGGTTTCCAATATTCGTGAATCATAGTTCGTTTCTTCAACAAATAGTAGATTTGCTGTACGAAGTCGAATGTTTTGAATAAGTGCATTGTTAGGTATCGGAAGATCAGGAAAATCTGAAATAGATTTTCCATTTTGGAAAAGATGAGATTCTATATCGAGAATCACTCGGGCAATGATAATAGGATAATCGTGTTTCAGAGTTAAACCTTCTGACCTAGATTTATATACGAAATCATCTGTTAAAGCAATTAAATTAGTATCCCAGAGAGATTTTATATTAGTCGGGTCACCATGTACTAAAATAAGAGAAAATAGCAATCGTAGTTGGGCAGGCATTCCAAAGAGAGCTGCTTCTTGAAGACATAAAGTCCATTCTCGATCATCATTAATTAACCCAAGTTGGTACGTAGCTTCTTTATAAGAGGCATATTCAATGCCACTTATTGTTCTAACATGACTAAAGAAAGTAGGTCCACGGACATGAGACAATAACATTCTGAGATAAAAACGTTCACCATCTTTTGGATTAGACATATACATTCTCCCAATTACTTTATCACTATTGCGTGATCGAGGATACCAATCTCTATTTTTCCAAATGTAATGTTTTGGAAAGTCTATATAAAGAAGATTTCTTGCAAGAGAATCAGTTACACATTTGTAAAAAAAACGTGTTAGTTTTGTGGTTGAGGCTCGTGGTAATATTTCTGATAGATTATCATTTTGTTGAAATAGGACAAATTGCTGGTCAGATAGGTGCACAGGTAACCGCTCAATTTTATGAGATTTATGTTGTTGTTCAAAGTCAAATAGTCGCTAGCAAGCTTCAGTCGCTGAGACATAGCGAGCATCAAGATACGAAGATATTTCATCTCCATTATCCAACTCGCTTTCCATAGACACAACTGCTCTATCATTACCTTTATATATATACTTATATAAGTATTTGACTGAGGTAATGCTAGTACAGATTTCAACATTGATATAACAATCATATTTATTGCAAAGGTATGGGTTATACGGAACAACCTATCGGTTATCAAGCAATACTTTTTTTATTTCAATACAACAGTTATTGTTGCAACGGCGATAGATCGGGTAGTTATTCGCGTCTTCTGTTGTTGTTATACAAAATTCACGTGGATAACGTTTATTACACTTTCCATCTTTCATACAGGGAGCTGATAGGTTTTCTTCACCACAGGGTCCATGTATCATATTTTTAGTTACAGTCCTATATAGTTGCGGGTGAAGGTCTATATCAGGAATTTCGGCAGATACTAAAAGATCATAATCATTTGGTGTTCATAGTTTGTTATCGCTTACAAGTATTATAAGAATATGGGCATGTGGTAAACCATGTTTTTTAAACTCGATCACATGAACATGAGCTATAACAGACCCAAGGACACCTCTACCTACTATATCTTTCATAATTACTTTCATCTTTAAACGAAATATTCTTGTGACAATATCTGGACGATCATACGAATGTTGTCCTGGTAGTAATTCCATTAATATCTCGGGCCATTTTGGGTTGCAAGTAACAGTAATAAACAAATCTGGTTTTCCAAATTCACAGACTATAGCCATCGCATCTTGATATTGCTGTTGCATGTAGCGTATACTTCCAGTAAATGATGATGGTAAAATTACGCGAGTACCAATATTAGCAAGATTATTAGTTGAGTTAAAAACATTATCCTTTAGTCCTTGGTAAAGTTCTGCTCTGAGTTCTTTTTGGTTAAATCGATACCATCTTAACGTATTTTGTTCCCATTTCACAAATTTATCTACTATATACTGTTGGAAAAGACGGCCAGACAAATGTAAGTACTTTTTATTATTGGATAACAAACTTGAAGTCTGTATGCGACGAATTGTCGAACAGTTACATGCCTTTGTCTTTGTTGGCTACGAAGTCGATTACTTGTTAGGATGTCTACATGCATAATGCCTTCATGCCAACCATATTCGCCATGTGGAAATAGTAGCGGATATTGCAAGGGGTCATAAGCTCCATGCAGTTCA